ACCCTGTGTGTCCAATCTCAACTGAATGTGAGCTCCTTGGAGCCTCCAGCTGCACAGTAGCCTTTACTCTACCCCGACTACTAAATACCACGCTGTACAAAATACAGGTGCTCAGTACATCTCTGCTGTTGAGTAGCTCTCTATGAATGCTCACTCTTCTGTCACTAACTATATCCTGAATGAACTGAGTACAGCGGTCCCTCAATGTACTGTGGAGGATACATTCCAGACCCCCCTGCAATAAGTAAAAATCAGTGAAGTAGTGACATATTTTAGTATTTATATATATTTTAAGGCTTTACAAGCCCTTCCCACACTTTTATAAACCCTTTCCCACACGTTAAAAAACACTTCTAATGTTAACTACTTTCTAAACTTGTAGATCTATATAATTTTAATAACATATATATACTGTACAGTACTGCAGAAATCCTGAGATATACTGAAAAATTCGCAATAAATAATTTAGATCAATATTCTTTGAAAACTCACAAAACGGTGAGTCCACAAAGTCAAACTGCGAAATAGCAAGGGACTACTGTAACTTCAAAACAGCACCACTTATTCCCACAGAACTCAGAAAAAATTAGTTTACCATTGTGCTTACTCTGTCGACACAGAACCCAATAGGTATAAATACACAGCAGGTTGACAATGGCAGCATTTGCCAAATTTGTTTCTAAGACATCAGTGCCATTTTTTGTTTGTGACATGAGGACTGACCTCATGGTCTTTAGACAAGGTCTTGCGAAGTCATTAAGTAGCCCAGGCCGGGCTCTTACTTTTGATCCTCCTGCCTCTGTCTCTCATAGTGCCAGGATAATGGGCCTGTACCATCACACCTGGCCAAGTGTCATTATGTTGAGCTGTCCATTAGTATCTCCACGTGGATATCTCTAAGCAACATCTCAAATCTATCACGTCCCAAAGGGACATGACTTTTACCCTCTCAATAAATGGCAATCATCCTTCCAGGAGCTCAGAGCAAAGCTCCTTCCAGTAGCTTCTTGTTAGCTAACTAATTGGTCTATTCCATTAACCCCATCCATTAGCTAATCACGTTGGCTCAACCTTCAAAATACATTTAGAATCTCAGTACTTCACACAGCTTTCACCATCTTGGTCCCAGGCACTATTTTTTCTTCCCGGAATTATGACAAAGGCCCCCTTACCATCTCTCTGCTTCTGTCCCTGGCCTTCCAGAGGAATCCTTCCCAAAGCTAAGTCAGATCACATCATGCCCTCTGTGTGAAGTAGAGGAAAAGGTCTGGGGCAGGGGAGAATTCCTGAAAAATATTCGAAAACTAGTATCCCTTGCAGAACAATTTAGGAAACTCTAGTCTAGAAATTCTTGAAACTAGAACTTGTAGCTTTCTTTCATTCATGTATGTATGTATGTATGTATGTATGTTTGTGGTACAGGGTCTCACTATGCAGCTCAGAGTCCTAGTGATCCTTGTTTTCAGCCTCCCCAGTGCTGGGATTATAGGTGTGCACCACCTTGCCCAGTCAAACTTGTAGCCTTGTGACTATGAATTTTGGCTCAAAAATGAAAGTACTTTTAACAGGTAAATGACATGACTCAATATTTAAAACATTAAACTAAGTATTCTCTGGCTATTTCTGTAACAATTTCCTAACAGCTTTAGAAGGTACAGTAGGGTGAGGTCAAAAAGAACAAGAGTTTTTTCTGTCTTATATAAATCATCTTTTTTTTTTTTTTTTTTGAGGCGGGGGGGTGGAACCTGGGATTGAACCCAGGTCCTTGTGCTTGCCAGGGAAGCGCTTATTCCACTGAGCCGTCTCCCCGGCCCCTAAATCATCTTTCTGAGCCTGAGATTTACCTATAAACTACTTAACCAGCCTACTGCTAGGAAGACCCAGCATGCTATATAGATCACTTACTCTATATCCAGGCCTAACTGTGGTTTCGGATTCAACACTCAATAACCATCCACTTCTTTTTTGTGTATTTTCCATTTCACAGGCTTATATTTTAGAGAGTGTTGAGACTTGAGGAACCTCAGGTACACTTTGTGTTTCTCCACAATTTACAATTATACATCCCAAACCAAGCAATTGAAAAATCTGTTGCAGCAAATAACAGAAATAATGGGAGATATGTCAGGAATATTTTACGGTTATGGAAGTTCAGATGAGATTAGTGAATACCTCACATGAGTAAGGTTGTGCTGTGAGCCTTCCACGGTGCATCACAAACTTGGCTTCAATGAGCAGTACCATAAAGCTAGTAGTACCTGAAACATCAGAGGGGTGTTTGCAGAAGCAAAGTTCAGACTTTTGGTCATGTGACTTGCAGGATCATACTTTGACATGCATTCTTTGATGACTTGACTGTTTTGGCTGCTCTTCTTCACCTATTAACAGCACAACTTTAGCCTGGTTAGCAATGGTTTTCATTAGAAAGTCAGTCCTCACGTTGTCAATGTCTGACACCAGAATGGAGCCCGACTCAGGAGTGGTATCAAATGGATACACATACTCCTGGGGACACGTGCTCCAGGGCATCCAGGTCCCTGGCAATCCTGGTTCTACAGTGACCAGAAGGGGACTGAAGATTATGAGCAGCAGGGTTGGAAAGTCCCTGGCATTCAAGGTTCTTCCAGAAATATTATTATACCATCAGTGACAGAAAGGATCAGCTTTCTTTTTCATTCCTCTGGCTTTTGGCCCTTCAGGGTGCAGGGTTCCCTCAGCTCACAAGGAGCCTGTCACATGCCAGGGTTGAGCCAGGGGCCCAAGGACCTGCTTATTTCTTACAGATATGGAGTAAAGTATTTGTACTCCCAATTTCTTTCTTTTTTTTTTTTTTGGCAGAACTGGGGATTGAACTCAGGCCCTTGCGCTTGCCAGGCAAGCACCTATTTTACTGAGCCATCTCCCTGGCCCCTCCAAATTTCATTAAGAAAATATTGCTAGCCTCTTTTCTATTACCACTGCAATTCCAAGGAATTCTATATTTCCCTTTTCAGCACCCCAGCCTGATTTCTGTTCTATAACCACTATTCTATCATCAGCAAGGCCAAGCCCAGGTGTACCAACGATAAAACATGTTTTGAGGGAGGAAGATTATGTAATTCTTAAAAATTGTAATTTGTATTTCAAAGGTGAAAAATCTATAGCTTTAGTAAGAGAAAAGCTCAAAATAATTTTTTATGGTTGATGAGAATATACTCTGCCAAAGAAATATCTCATTGGGATGTTGTGATACTTTCATGTTGATCAAAAGGAGATTAAAGCTTCTTTTAAAGTCTGATAAGTTATTGTTTAAACCAACCCCATGGGCTGGGGAGATAGCTCAGTGTTCTAAGCACCTGCCTGGCAAGCGCAGGGACCTGGGTTCGATCCCTGGTACTACATGCCATGTGGGTCCCAGAACCCTGGGTGCACTGAGCTGGCCACCAAGACCAGGCGTGGTGGCACACGCCACTAATCCCAGAGCTAGAAAGGCTGAGACAGGAGGATTACTATGAGTCCAAGCAGTGTAGTGAGACCCCGTATCAAATAAAAAATAAAAATAAATCAACCCCATAAAAATGTTTACAGATTAAAAGGAGGAGGTTAAATGAAGTAAACCAGAGACACAAGCTTAAAAGTAGAATGGTTTCTCGTACATGAGAAAGCCAAAGTGTAAATAAATTAAAAAGCAAATTAAAAGAGAATAGGAAACAGGGAAATGGGTCTTCTGCAAATAAGAGGACTAAGATACGGTGGAAAGGGAGAGGAAGGGAAGGAAAGGTGATGTAAAAGTATCAAGATGTGTTATGATGAATGTAATTACTATGTACTGCAAATACGTACTAATAAAAACAACCATTGGAGAAAGAAGGGGAGGGAATCTCTAACAGTTAGGCAAGTCCGAAATAGTCAAAAAGTGGCTCGTATTATTTATGAGTTCTAGTGCAGGTCTCCATACATTATCTTAAGAATTAAGTGGTAAAGTAGGTACAAAGACACAGGGCCACAATCCTAGCACTTGGGAGGCTGAGGCAAGAGGCTCAACATGAGTTTAAGGCCAGCCTGGACTATAAAGGGAGATCCTAGCTCAAAAAAAAAAAAAAAAAAAAAAAAAATTAAGTGTGTATATACCAGCTGATTAAATATTTCCCCATGCAATAAAATTCTCCAAGTACACGAAACAAAACTTTCATACTGAGTTCTTTTCTGATCAATACCTGCCCTTGCCTCCCATATCCATTCTAAAATGAGTCTTCAGCGCTTGATACAGGCATCTTTTGCGCACGAAATCCCTTAATGTATACAATAAATTGAAGGTGGATGAAACCAGGTGGCTTGTGCTTGATCACAAAATTCGCAGAAATGGGACTCAACTCAGTTTACCACAAAGCTCCCTCTACTGCATGAGAAGTCTTCACACCCGCGCGAGACGCCTCCTGCCATGTAGCAGCACTGTGCGGCTGAGACAGCTTCCCTACTGCTTTCTTTGGATTTACCACACTCTAACCTTTTGCTCTGCACCATCAGTCTTGATTCTCCCCTTTCGCTAGGCACCCCACTCCCTCATTCTTCGTGGAAGCGAGGGCAAGGCCTCGAAGGGAGGTGGCAGCTCCTTACAGGGCACTCCTAGGACCCTCGCCCCCACCAGGGGTCTCTGCAGTATATCTAACCTGCCTTGCAAATCCGCACGTAACACTGAGGTCAGACCTAGTCTCAAAAAGGAACGTACGGGAAAATAATTGCATTTTAGTGTTTTTTCAATCACTTCTGTTGAAATTTCGGAGTCTTTGCCCTCAAATGGGCAAGAGGGACCCCTTACAAGACCTCAAGGCTCGCTCTGTTGCCAAGGGGGGGCATCCAGGAAAGCCTTCAATTTTCCCGCAATCCCGACGGCCCGGAGCAAAAGCACGCGCATGCGCCTTCCCAGCCTCCCCCGAGACCACCACCACCACCACCACCACGTGGGGGCGCCACGTCCCCCACGCCCATTTCGCCCGCCTCAGCACGCTTTTTCGAACTACCTTTGTCCAATTCCATAAGGGCAGAATTAGCATCCAGTTCCTGCTCACCATACCCAGCATCTGCCAGGAAAGACTTAGTTGAGTTTGACGCCATGACCCGAATAAGCTGTTCGACTAGCCCAGTCAGGAAGATTGCAAATTCTGCCTCAGGACCGCCATCTTCTCCGCAGCGTCTCGCGGCTTTTTCCTCCGCTCCGTCGAGCCGCGTTACGCATGCTCCCTGCTCACCCCGCGGTTCGCTGGCGCCTCTGCGGGCCCCCCGCGCAGGCGCTCAGGGAACTCCTGAACTCCAGGTTCCCGCGGCTGGGAGAAAAGGAGGCGGGGATTCCACGGGGGAAGTGACTCAGGCGCGCGGACGCCCGCGACGGAAGCCAATCAGAAGGCGTGACGTCAGTTTGGCGCGGAGTTTGGCGGCCGGGGCTTACAGTGGCGGGAGTTGGAGGCAATAACGGGTCGTGGTGTCCGAGGCGCGAGTTAACGATTTCTGCCGGATTTAGGAGGCATTTTCACGGCTTTTTCCTCACCTGAGCCTTTCCGTCAGGCCCAGATGCTTTTTAATTCGGTGCTTCGCCAGCCCCAGCTTGGCGTCCTGAGAAATGGTGAGTAACGGTCCTAACTGCTGCTCGTGGCTGGCGGGATTCGCCTCCCGCGAACCGCTCCACCTCGGATCCGGGCCGATTCCGACTCAGTTCCCCGCCTCCGCGTTCTCCCACGGCTAGAGTGAATGAGTGCGGGCGAGGACAAGCGAAAGAACTTGTACTTTAAGTCCCTCTGGACACTTTAAGTCGTAGTCTGGCTTTTGAAAGGATACTGTAGGCCGGAGGAGGGAGGGGCGTTGAGCTGCTGGCCTCCCGGGCCCCTAGCCGCTGACGTCAATATCCCGCGTTCGCCAGAAAACAGTTGTGTTGGGGGCGGGGGCGTCTCGGAGGCGATCCGGGACTTCGGCCCGTGCGCGCGCGCGCTGCTTGCAGAACTTTCGGGATCCCCAATATTTCCCGAGAGCTTGACCCCGCGCTTGAGGAACTCGGTCAAGCAGAGAAGACAGTGCATCTTTTTTAGCAGGGGCAAAAATCTTACCCCTTTCGTTACTCTCTCATCCTTAAAAATTCTGCATTATAAAGTGAAAGATACCCATAACCACAATGTCTAGAGGTGACCTGCGATACTAGGTAAAAGATTATTATTCTAAGGTGCTTTCTGATGCCACAGGTAATAATCACAAACGGATATTTTTTCGCTTTTTCCGTGTAAGTTGGACATATTCTTAAATTAGTACGTGGAAATCCAACTTACTGTGTGCAGTTCTTTAGGTTTCCTACCCGCTAAGAGATTGGGGGTTCGGTTGGGTGTCCTCAGTCTTGAGTTTTTCTGTTGAAAGTTTGCTGTGTAGGCAAACCTTGGACAGAAGGAAACCGCACTCACTGAATGGTCGTTGGTATCGAGAGGTGCTTTCGCCACGTGGAAAACGAAAAGAGAATACGATAATTTTGTACTTAACGAATAGGTATAAGAAAAAGACTTTGAAGAAATAGACTGAATGGTCTCTGATTTCCCAGTTCCTAATCTAAAACTATGCGATTTTTGTCTACTTCTCTGTGGTGGAATCTTTATAATTCTACTCAATGTGCCGCCTGTCTCTTGTAGGACTCTTTCAGTAACGTCTCCGTTCTCTACCTTGCGTGGCAGTACAGCGCAATGGTCAAGACCAGTCTTTGCAATTAAACTACCTCTGTTTTCATAACAGCCATCCTCCTTACCATTTGTGTGACCTGGGCAGAGCTAATCAGCTTTTATTTTGTGACATATTTCTAATTCTCCAATCCACCTGTGCCTTTTTTCTCCTTCTTTGCTTCTGTTCCCAAATGCCAATTGTTATGTAGTAGGCACTGAAATTCATTAACATGTCACTTAGATGTGTACCACTGTGATTGCCTTCCCCCTTTACCTTGATTGGTGTGCCATCTCTGGCTCCTCTTACCTATTACCACAGATGATTACAGCCCTAAGTAGGAATTCTTCCTGTACCACCTACAACCTTCCATTCCATTCCCTGAATTTTAGATATATTTCTATAAAAGCTGTGTGGGTTGATCTTCACCCACATGGTCAGTCTCATCTATAATTCAAATTCCTAAAGCTGAAAACTCACTTTTTCCTCAGCTGCTATATTATCTTAGGAAATGGTTCTATTATGTTAAGGTGATATTCCTAGGCAGGAACCTGAGAATCACTCAAAACTGACTTCTACAAGATTACACATTCAGAAGGTCCCCTTAAAATCTTTTGAAGCCATTGTCTTCTCTTCATTTCTGTTGATTCTGCCTCTTTGCCTTATGTTAGGTCTGCTCATTCTTCACTGTGTCATTTCTCTGTTCTTGACCCCAATTCTGCTTTGGCAGGTATAACAAGTCTAAGAGATGGGAAAATAGCTTTGCAGACTAAGCGCCTAGTCAGGCGAGCGCAGGGCCCAGGGTTCAATCCTTGGCATGACATGCCACACCCACCTGACCCCTGGGCATGGAGGCACATGCCTGTTATCCCATCACTGGGGAGACTGAAAACTGGAGGATCACTATGAGTCTGAGCTGCATAGTGAGACCCTGTACCAAATACATTTTAAAAACACACACAACTATGAGATTATGCTTCCAAGAGTGATTACTAATCTATTGTTTCTTTGCCTTCTTTGTGCTGATTCAAGTTATCTCTATAGATATCCAAAACTATGTAGATCTGTGTGAGGTTCTGCCAGGCTAAAATGTCCTCATTAAGCACACTTTGGATGAAAAGCATTTGTGTACCCCAAAATGTGAATGTATTATTTATTTAGACAGCTCCCAATAAATTGTAAACTCACTGTTTCCTCAGTTGTTTATCAATTGATTCTTAGTAATTATGTGTTTAATGAAAACTTTTCTTCATAGATTGAGCAGCCCTAATCCAAAAACCCAAAACTTAAAATATTCTAAAATCTCCCCCACATTCAGGAGGCAGGAAAAAAAAAAATTTAAAGCATGAGTATGTGCTCAAAGTTTTGGGCTTCTGGTTTTCAGATTAGGAATCCTCAAGAGGTAAAATCTATGCATATGTTCCCAAATATGAAACTTCTTGGTCTGGAGCCTTTCAGATAAGAGTTACTTAATTAACCTACGTGTTAATGTGATAAAGATAAATTGCCAACGATGGCTCACTGTTCAGGGCCACAGTGCACATCAGGTTTCTGATCCAGCAGAAGGAACTTTCCAGCTACCATGGATTTCTTGCTCTCTGTTATAATTACAATTGGGAAAAAAATTGTGCGCTGTTCTTCAGAGGAGTAGTGGATTGTTAATTGGTGAGCAGCTTGTTACACCCAGCTGAATTAAACTAGCATGGTGCTGGGTGTGGGTGGCCCACCTGAGGATTACTGCCAGCTATAGCAGAAGAGGCAGAACCAGAGAAGAAAGTGAGGCTGTCAGGGAAGCTTTGGAGAAACTATAGGAGGCTGCTAGGGTCTCTTGGACTCTTCTGTTGGGGGACCTTGTCATGCTGCTCTCATGATGAACTTAGTTGTTCTCGTCAGAGGAGTTGGAGGCCTCTTTGCTAAGGATGGGTGCAGTTTCCCTTGGGGAGCTTTGGTCCTCACTTTGAGCATCACTTCCTGGTTCCAGAGTGGAAGGTGGTGCACAGCTCAGTCTCCCGGAGAAGCTTGTCACGTTGGCTTTTCTGATGGGAACTCAGCTTTCCTCATTGCTGAGGAGCTCAGGCCCTCACTGTTGCTGAGGGTGGCTGTGCTACTTTTCAGGGGAGCTTTGGTCCTTACTTTGAGTTTCAGCTCCAGTGCAGATCCCTCAGCTGCGGGCACAGATCCTTCAGACTTTTTAACTTCCACCACTTTGGGCCTTCCCAGCACAGATCCATGAAGCTGGTCTTCATGAGACATTGTTAAGAAGGATTTTTTTTGGGGCGGGGGGTGTGTGCTGGCTCTGGCTGCCTTAAGGCCGGGTCTGGGGATAGAACTGCAGTCCCCTGTGCCTGACTGGGTTTGCCCAAGTAGGCACTTAAACAACTGGGCTAACCTGCAAGCCCCCACATGAGACATTGTTAGGGCTCTAAGCCTCCAATTGGACTTGTGGGAGGCATTGTGATGGGCTCAAGATGTTTACCTGGTCTCATGCAGGACACATCATGGGATCCCGGCCCTCAGCTGGAGTCTTTGGTCTTGAGTATGTTTCCAGATTTCCAACAATCTTGGTATATGATTGTTTGGGTGATTCATTATAACATGATCTTACAAAATACGTATCTTGTATTGTACTGTATTGTACTGTTCACCTTGCAAAAGCCCCAAACCACGACATGTACCTTACATAAAGTTAGGGATGTATTTGCATTTTTCCTCCCTGCGTCTACTTAAGAAAATACCAGAACAGTATTCCAGAGGACAGAGGTACTATAGTGAATGGGCCTATGGTAATACAAAGCTCTTTGAGAACAAATATTTATCTCTGCATTTGTTAACGTCTTGAAACGAGATGCTACACTGGAATTCTCTAAGGCATCATCTTGTTTTAGGGTGGTCTTCACATTACCCTCTACAGTCCCTTCTCACTGGTTATCAGTGCAGCTGTCACGATGAGCACACGTCCTATGGAGAAACGGGTGTCCCAGTTCCCCCTTTTGGATGCACCTTCTCTTCTGGTAAGCTTGTACAGAAATCATGTATTTCCCGTTTCCACTTAGAAGGAAAATCATGCTGGGATATTTTCCTTTGAAAGAAAAAGGAGTTAATGTTACAATTTTTCTAGTAACAATTCTCACTTGAGAACTAGACTTTTTAAATTTCTATGCATAATTAGCATAATTTTGTATTTCTTATAGTATAGAATCCTGTAGCATATTATAGCACTTTTTTTTTTTCTTCTGAGACACGGTCTCACTATGTAGTTCAGCTGGCCTTGAGCTCACTTTGTAGCTCAGGCTGGTTTTGAACTTGAAATGATCCTCTTGCCTCAGCCTCTCAAGTGCTGGTATTATAGGTCTGTGCCACCAGGCCCAGCTAACTTTTTTTTGAACCAGTGGATGGAAAGAGTCACATAGGCTCATCTATCATAAAAACAATTTTACCTAGTAGACACTGCTTTTGATCTGACTAAATACATGTTGTTTTTTATTCATTGGCAATATGTAGATAGAAGTACGTATTCTTTCTTTTAGTGGGATTTTTTTCCCCCTTAGTGGTTTTAAAAAGTAGAAAAGCAAAAGGTTTTCAAAACAAAATTTAAAACTAATAGCTTGTTTGCTGCCTGTATCATATGCTTTTATTTTATTTGCTG